CCATGCGGGTCGAAGCCCAGAAAGTGTTTTGGGCTTGGCTGATGTTTTGACTCGGTCGAGTCAAAGTTTTGACTCGGACCGAGTCAATACTAAATGGGCCGAGTCAAGAGTTGACAATGGGCTTGGGCTGATTCGTTCTGACTCGACCGAGTCAGAGTTCTGACTCGGACCGAGTCAATACTCGGAAAAAGTCTCTTTTCACAAGGATTAGGGTTCCTATCTTATAAAAAGGGTATTGGACGCCGTCCTCAACCTAAGACAGACGAAAAGAACCCTAAGACAGAGCACAAACACAGAAGAAATCGTTTCTTTCATAGTTCTAGCTCTCGGGATTAGATCCCACTTCACATACTTCACAGATCCTAGCAGATCGGTTCCAAAAGCGTTTGGAATCCCTCCCGTCGGTGTGGATACGTGTAGAGAGACTGTAACTTCAGCCCTAGGTAATTAAACAGGCCCCGATACGTGTAGAGGGACTGTAACTTCAGTTCTAGGTGATTAAACAGGTCCCGGATCGACTCCTACTTCCGTTTCTTCAGAAAAAAGGTAAGTATTCGATTCCCACGGTGATATACACGATTATACGGGGTTTTACGGATGAGTTTGGTTGCGTGTGACGTTTGATTAGGTTTAGATTATCCTTCCGCTGCATGAAACCTAGTAAACCAAACCCTAGATCGATATGATCGCATGCTAGGAATCCGTAGCGAAACCCAATAGTGGTATCAGAGCTTGGCTCTCTGTATATCGCCGTGCTTGTTGATTGCCTACATGATTTTAATGGTTAAAATTGCATGATAGGCTTGATCTTTGCATGTTTAATAATATTATGAATGTTATTTAATGCATGGATAAGTTTCTGGAAGGAGACGACTTGATGACACATCGAAATAGGGTGAATTCCTAAATTTCGAAGCTTTAAAGTGTCTCTCAGAGTTTTGACTCGGACAGACAGAGTTTTGACTCGACCGAGTCAAAACGACAGAGTCAGAATGACAAATCAGAGTTTTGACTCGGGCAGAGTCAAGTGTTGACTCGAAGAGTCAGAACGAATCAAAATCGAACAGACTTGACCTCAGAGGCTTCTGGCTCAGACCGAGTTAAGTGTTGACTCGGACCGAGTCAGTACAGAAGGTTGTCTAGTTCGTCACGTTTTGGTTCGGACTGATTTGGGGAGATTTCGGCATCTGACTCGGACCGAGTCAAGTATTGACTCGGACCGAGTCAGTTCGTCAGACTTTGTTAGATGCAATTGTTGCATCGTTTCAAGTGTCTAAACCGAGATTATGATTCTACCGATCTGATCGGAACAACTTGATTGAACTGACTTGAATTCAGTCAAGATTTCATTGTGTTCAAGTCACATATACCTCATGAAATCTCAAGCTATTACCGCCCATTAGTAGAGCAACTGTCAAGGCCTCGATCGTCATGGTTACGGGTCATGCCCTAGCTGAGCGTGCCTGATTATCTTGGTGAGGCAGTATGGAGAAATCGTGATTCTCATAGCTCGAATATGGTTGAGCTTGAATTGGGTTATCAAGTCGGACTTGGACCTGATGGTAAGGATGGGATGAGGAACATGCAGTGATAGCGTATCACTATCCCATACTCATCTAGGAATCACATAGGATGTGATTGACAATGTGTTGTCTACCTAAATAGCATGTTTTTTAGCGTCATGCCCTAGCTGACTCAAAAGCATGTGAAATATGGATCCTAGCTCACTTAGAAACTCATTGAGGGTGTTTTTCTTAGTGGGAGCCTGTCATATTGCATCTATTGTCTGTGTTAGTATGTGTACTAAGCGGCTTGCATATTTTCTGTCTGTTTGTCTGTCTTTTTCTGTAGAACATATCTGTTGCAGGAATCTGTTTTATCTCACCATGCGATCTATCCTTATGAAGGATAAGCCTCTGACTACGGCTTCTAGATCGATCATTGATGCTTATTGGAAGCATGAGGATGATGATCTGGACGTGTCCAATTTGATGCTTGGAAAGATGTCTTCGGAATTGCGTGAGCAATTAGAGGACATGGACAATTCTTTGATAGTTGATCAGTTGAATGTGTCATTCCAAGAGAAAGCTGGGAGCCGAGGGAAGAATGATATGGTAGTTGTTGGAAAGAGTTCCACCAAAAGGAAACGTTCCAAGGGCAAGGGCAAGAGGAAAGTGGCAAGCGTTGTCATTGAACCTAAGCCTGAGTCCAAGAAGGAAGAGTGTTATTTCTGTCATGCCATCGGGCATTGGTATAGAAATTGCAGGCTCTACCTGGAAGATCAGAGGAAGAAGAAGCTTACAGAAGCTTCGACTTCTGGTATCTTCGTTATAGAGGCGAACTTGTTTACTTCTACATCATGGGTATTAGATACCGTATGTGCCTCACACATTTGTGGAAATGTGTAAGGACTTCGAGGAAGTAGACAATTGGCGAAGGGAGAAGTAGATCTTCGCGTCGGGAATGGAGCAAGAGTTGCTGCATTAACCGTCGGGACTTACGATCTCACTTTACCTTCTGGCCTTGTATTGGAGTTGCATGATTGTTATTTTGTACCTGCCATCAATTATATCGATTTCATGTTTAGACTCGGATGGTTTCAGATTTGTTATTGAGAACAAATGTTTGTCCATTTATAGAGGCGATTTATTCTATCGTAAGGGTTACCAGTTTGATGGCCTTTATGTTTTGGAAGATGAACCATCTAGATACAGGTCGATCTATAACGTTAGTACCAAGCGGTTTAAGCCGAACGACTTAAACCCGACCTATCTCTGGCATTGTCGACTTGGCCACATCAACGAGAAACGCATAGCGAAGCTTCATTCTGATGGACTTCTTGATTCTTTTGATTATGAATCAATCGAATCATGCGATTCTTGTTTGATGGGCAAGATGACAAAATCTCCTTTTACTAGAACAGGAGAGCGGGCTACGGAGTTGCTAGAACTCATACATAGTGATGTGTGTGCGGTCCTATGAGCTCGCCCGCTAGAGAAGGTTATCTGTATTTCGTTACGTTTACTGATGATTTCAGTAGGTACGGTTATGTCTACTTGATGAGACATAAGTCTGAAACGCTTGAATTGTTCAAGAATTTCATAAACGAGGTACAGAACCAACTTGGCAAGACGATCAAGTTGCTTCGATCTGATCGAGGTGGCGAGTATATGAGCCAAGAGTTCACTGACTATCTGGCAGATTGTGGGATTGTCTCACAGCTGACTCCATCTGGAACGCCACAATGGAATGACGTTTTCGAGAGGAGGAACCGAACCTTATTGGATATGGTACGGTCTATGATGAGTCAGGTCGATCTTCCTAAATCCTTCTGAGGATATGCTTTGGAAACGGCAACGCTTATACTGAACAACTGTCCAACAAAGTCGGTTCAGAAGACTCCATATGAGATATGGACTGGGAAGCGTCACAGGTTAGCATTTGTGAAGATTTGGGGATGCGACGTTTACGTGAAACGTC